TATAAATAAATGCACAATGGGGTGAATCAAAGACACCTCACAATTAAATCAATCTCTCTTCTCTCTCAATATTGACAAACCCCTCTCTCTCTAAACCCTATTGTTCAATCAAATAGGCCTACAACAAGAAACTTTTTTTTTTTTTTCGTTTAAAGCACTTTTACAAAATAAAGTTTACCAAACACTCGATAACTTTATTCTATAGTTGTTTATTTTCACAACACATCAGAAGCATTTTTTTTATTTATAAAAAAGGCACATTAATACCAAACTAGCCCTAAGACTCCTAAATCATTGGATCATATACATTCAATGCATGTATGCCCAACGCCTCTCTCTAAAGCGACTTATTATTATTTAAATGAGAACTATTTGTGAGCTAATTCCACAACCAACGTAAACGATTTGATTTATTTTTTAAGTCGACATTTACAAATTATTTTCCAAAAAATTATTTCAATTTGAAACTCTTTACCCATTTGATTGTCATGATTAAATTTTAATGCTTCATAGTATATAGTGTTCGTCAATTTCTTTGAACTCAATTAAATGCATCAAACATTTCTGACTTGGCTAATATTCTGCGAGGATGATCTATGAAATGCAACTTGAAAAATAGATGATTTAGATCGTTGTATTTCGATGTAGAATGAACCCAATTCAACATAGAATGAACCCCACAACTAGTCTCCATTTTTTTTTTGGTAAAAATGGGCATGCATGCTTGCATACATGTGGAAGTGATTTCCATTAATACCCAATTTTACTTCAAGCACATGCTTATTATAACGTTGAGTAATTCTAGGGAAACTAAATTTGTAGACTAAATTTGCAAAACTAAATGATGTGTCACCAATAAGAATGAGCACGTTTATCAACGTTTAAATAATAAATCAACTTTCACATCCTTTAGTTTTCAAAATTTAGTTTACAAATTTAGTTTCCCTAGCATTACCTTTATACTTTTTTCGTTGTTTGCTTCCTCTTTCATTTTTAATTCATGCACATTTATTATAAGATAAGTATTTGAAAATCATTTTCCTATGATATAAAAAAATAGCAGGGAACCACATTGCACCACCTATCAAACAAGGGTAGGGCCGACCATTAATATAAGTAGGTCTTGCCTATATTAAAGAAATAGTCATTGTTCTAAAAATCTTTGCCTAACGTCGCTTAGGCGCTAGGCGGTTGGTCATCACCCCAATTAGTACCTAACTGTTTGAAAATTAAGAAAGTGCACCTAGACCCGCTTAGGCGTCCGCCTAACCCGCCTAAATCCACCTAAACACCTATCTAGGTCGCGATTCTCACTTAGACAGAAATAAAATGTAAGAGACTTGTTAAATACTTGGATGAACACTTATTATATGCTTGTTCCTCATATTTTCAATATGTTCTAATACTTTACAATTTATTTGTCATTTTATTTTCAATTTATGTATCCCAATATAATTATGTGCGTTTTTAAGTATAATAGGTGCTTATTTATACAATATATAATAAATTTACTTTAATCCATCTAGTCAACCTAGGCCCCCGCTGTGATGACCCATCACTAATTTTTCTTTTTCATAAATTTTAAAAGAGTGATTTTACGAAAATGCCCTAAAGGCAAGGATTTTGACTTTCGTTAATCGTCGAGAGACGTAGGACTCATTCTTTTAGCATAATTGGGTAGTACTCGACGATACGAATGCATGGGCACAAGAGGATTTGAATTTGGAGCAAAAACGGGGATATTATGGAATTCGGGTAATTTTGGTAAGTTCACAAATAGAGATATTTCTCCACTTTGGACACCACATGACTCACATGTGGCACCCCATTTCTGGTGCCCTTTTCTTTCCCCTTCCGTGATCTCTCCCTCGAGAACTCTCTCTCGTCTTTCCTCTCTCATCTCTGTCAACTCTCCCTCTTTGCCAGTTCAACCCAAAATGCCACCACCCACTGCCTTCTCTAGCGAGCTTCGCCATAGCACCACCATAACTTTCTCATCTCTAACTTTCTTTGCACCCATCGTGCACAATGAAACTGCACCACCATCACTGGCTTTCTTCTTAACTTAGTGGTTAATTGTGCTAGCATGAATCCTCAGGGTATTGGGTTCGAAGGCTGGTACTGACGATGGTGATGATGATGAATTGATGAATGAATGTTTATTTTCAAGAGAAATGCTAAGGGACTTTCTTTCTTTCTCTTTCTCTCTCTATTCTCTGTGCACAGCACTATGCAACCATGGTGAGTCTTAAGACCCTCAAATTCTTCACGTTTCAAAGCCCTTTTAGTGTTGGTAACTTTTAAATGGTGATTTGATGACAATTTAATGTAGGAAGCAACCTGGGAAAAATTTCCTTGATTTTTGGAACAAGACCTGTGGCCATTTGGCCATTTTCAGACCAAAATTCAAGCCAACTTCGATCTCCGTTGGGCCTCCTAAGGGTATGATTCTCTTCTCTACATTTCTAACTTTATTATGGCTTTTGAATCATCAAGTTTGGTTAAGAATTGAATTAGAAAGTAGCTATGAAAGTTGGGAAGAAATTTCCAAAATTCTAGAAAGTTTGGCCGTGACCATCAATCCACTTTTAGGCCGTTCCCCTGTTCAACTCCAGCCACGATTGGACCCCGAACTAGTATTAACCTTTTCCCCACATTCCTAGCTTCTAGTTAGTTTTTGAATTATTGAATTTGGCTAAGTATTGAGTTAGAAATCAGCCTTGGAAGTTAGGAAGAAAACTAGCAAAATTATGATCTTTGCGAGGAAGGCGAGTACTTATGTACTTGTGGCGCGTGAGGCGCATGGGATGCCGGCCCGTGCAACACGTGGCTGCCAGTGCAGCCACCTTGTGGCGGCATGTGCGGCTGTGCTAGGAGGAACCCGAGGTCCTTCCTTAGGTTTCTCAATGTCAAACCCGAATTCGCCTTCCGTTTCCCGTAATTCGATTGTTTTAAAATAGTTTCTTTATTAGCCGTACTTTGTACGCACATTTATATATTAGTACATTACGTATTTACCTAAATGGTTTCGTTTCTAGGCGAAATGCATTGTAAGGACTCTCGATGCTACGAGGCGGGTTCGACTCGGTGACATGATTTGTGAGTGGGCATTTATACACACACACACACACACGTACACGCGCGCACACACACATACTTACACTTTACGGTTTCCAGAAATGTTTTAAATTGAATATTGCATTTCATGCCATGTCTAGAAAATGTTATATTTTTAAATGTAGCATTGTTATGAAATGTGTTTGTGCTAAATGATCCAATGGAGGTGCATGCAAGTTCAGGTGAGTTATTATATGATTGAAATGGTTGTATTGATTGGGCATGCATATATTCATTAGAGCTCATCATTGTTGCACCCCAGTGTTAGTGCTCCTGGCCCGGGCTAGGGCACAGTCCTTCACGTGATGTTCGCCTCCCGCACCGCACGCTCTCCTTGGATCCAAGTTTGGTGCCAGCCCTGTCGTACAGACTGCATTAGCCAGTTCCGACTTATAGGTGACCCGCGATTTATCGCTAGCCATCACGTGATCGTAGCACTAGAGTGTACATATTTACACCCAGCCCTATCGTACAGGTCACATTAGGTGACTCTGACTCGTGTGCAAGCATAGATTGATGAGCAATAGGTCCAATCGTACAGGTCACATAAGGTGACTCCAAATGATATGTTAGTTTAGCACACCTGACTTATATTTATTATTGCTGAGATATTGTGACATGGCATACTTCTGTTTTCACTACCCTTGTGCACTCATTTTCATACTTACGTAGTATTATTTTTGGAAACTATACGGGTTTTACAGAGAAGGGTTAATATTTTTAGAAAAGATAAATGTGTTTTCTAAAGCTTTGTTTTTGTCCACTCACCCTTTTGTTTTCCCCCCTCTAGGTCTTAGTAGCTGAGCTTCCGTATTGACGAGGATTCTTGGCATACCCCAGTATAGGTGGCTACCTATGATGGTATAATCCTTATCTTACCTTACTGACTTTACTTATGCTCTATAATCACATGTGAAATGAATTCATTTCCGCTCACAGCGCACTCTTATATTTACGCACTTTTAGGTTTAAGTTTATTCACAAATCCACATCACTACACTTTATGGCTTCGTCACCTTCCAGGTGTCGGCTAACACAGCTCGACTCGAAGTCCTAGTGGACATACCGGGTCGGGGTGTGTCACTCGCCTAGCTGCCTGGGCACTAAGCCCCAACCCGCTCCTGAACTAGTGCCTAACACCTAACGTCTTTTAGAACCTTAAAAATAGTAGAATATAATCATCCAAAATGGGATACCATCCCAAGTATTTACTCAAGAATACAAGAATTCACATTAAAATGCAAGTTTAAAAAAATCAATTTGATTAATAGGGGTGTGCTCAATGTTTGCTTCTTGTCATAGGCAGTGTCGATATATTCGAACCTTAGTTTCACTTCAGTTTATAAGCTTTCAATTGTTATAATTTTAACTGAACTGTTACAATTTTAAGACAATAACTTAATTGCGGCACTTTTTAGCTAAAATTAGCATGTGAAAAAAAATTTAATCTTCCCAACATTACTTTAACATATTTATATGTTAAAACTTGATTTGTTTGGAATTAGGATCCGTCGAAGGTCCAAGTTGTAGGCGGATGTCTCAGCACGAACTAAATTTGGGGACCAGTCCCGACCACTTTTCACTTTCATTAAGACTAAATGGTCCACTCGTTTTGTTGTTAAATAATTACAAAAGGACGACGATGGTTCATAGAAATGGTCCACTCGTTTTGTTGTTAAATACTATGCTTGTGCACATCCACTCATTTTGTTTGATGTTTTTTTTCATTCGGATGGCTCACTTTGATCGATTGAAAGTCGCTATGTGTAGGACACACTCTACATTCATGACCCGTCACTTTCTACAAATACCTCATCTTCATCATTTAGTAGTATGTTTTTGTTACACATACCAATTCTAAACACTCTTTCCAAATATACTGACTCAAGAATCGGAATCCATTGGTCAAGCCTCTCTCCAAACCGCACCTGGATTGTCTGCCCTCCTAGTTACCATGCCCTTCCATCCCCTCCTACTTTTCTAGCCATTGATTTCATTTAATGCTCTAGATTTTGCCACCTCACCAACAGCTCCAAAACACCTTTAAAGCCTCCCGCCTCTTCCACTTTTCCTAATCTTCACTCTCCCGCCTCTTCCACTTTTCTGCTGCCTTTCCCGTCACCTCCTTCCGATTCGCCTAATTCAGTTTATGTTAATTTTCTTTGCTTGGCCGATTCGCCTAATTGGGTGGATCGGGTGCGGTGAATAATCTAATGGCTTTGAAGAATTCCTGGAAAAGTGGGTGCGCGTGTGTGGACGATCTACCTGGTGAAAATACAGAGATTACAAGGACTCTTCCAACAGAAAACACAGAGATTATGAGGACTCTTCCAAAACATCTTTAAAGCCTAATTTTTCTCCCTTTATCTGCTGCCTTTCCCGCCCCCTCCTCCTATCTGCTTTTAAGGTGCCTTTGTTTCTGATAAGTATTTTACATTGCTCTGTTTTATATCATGTTTTGATGCTAAGACAAAAGTAAGAGTGCCTTGGTTGGAAAATGAGTTTTCATGCCAGTACATGCTTCCATTACAAGCACAACTTTTCTGCATATTCAAAATTACACACAAAAAATGAGTTTTCATGCCAGTACATGCTTCCATTGTAAGCACAGAATCTGGAGCATTCAAAATTACACACAAAAAATTTGCTTTGCAAAAACTAGAGATTCAAAATTACACACAAAAACCTATAGATTCAAAAAATGAGTTTTCATGCCAGTATTTGCTTCTGCAATAACAGTAAGTTGGCTTCCTCTCTTCATCTCTAGTGGTCACCACTTACATTCAAATCTTGGTGTGCAACGGAATAACCAGTGGGATTTGTTTGGAGTAGCTCTTGAAATGTACTATACTGAGGTTCTTCATATGTCATCCACGACATGGATTTAAGCATGTCATGTCCCTTTGACTATGAAAATTGCATAAATAACTAATAAAAATAATACAAAAAAGAATATAAGGAGGTTAATTACCACTCACCGAATTCAAAGTATTCACCACTGGAAAAGGTCCCCTTGGTTCGGCCATCACGGGAGCACAAAAAAAAGGTGGAGGAGAAGCAATATAACATCCCGCCGCAACAGTCTCCTTTGGAACACAAGTTTCCTTTAAGATGTCACAATATAGATAAGTAAATCATATGACTTAGTTTACTGCTATTATAATTTTTAGAAAATTAAAACTGTACCTTTGATAAATGGGAGTTAGATGATCGCTTCCTTTTGGCTATAGCTTTTTCCAAACAACTCTTAAGTCGTCTTTTTCCTTGACAAGTCTCTCTCTTCTTTAATCCTTTTGCTTGCACAACAGTGGCATTATTCAAGTTGGGAACATCATTAGAATGGTTTAGAGCCATAATGGGGGCAGAATCCTCACCTTCATCTTCTGTTTTACCATTAATTTGTAAACTGAGCTTGTCTTCAGTCAATTTACCCAACTTACGTGCATAGCTACGAGCTATTTCATATGTTTCATCACTTTTTGCAGCCCTGGACGAGATCTGAGTAAATGCGTGGCACAAGGACCTAAATCGAGAGCTCTGTTGCAATCTAGGATCAACTTGGATTTCCTTCCCATGCATGTCTTGTATGCTCTCAGCCCTTACTTTTTTAGTCCACCTTTTCAAAATATATTGACTAGGAATCTCCAAGGTGTCCATTACCTCTATAAGGATTTTTATGGCATGACCACACAAAATACCTTTTATCTCAAACAATCTGCAACTGCAACAGATTATGTTTGAATCTCTCTCCCTCCTCACATGTCGTTCCATAAAAGCACCGTAAGGTGGAAAAACTGTGTACACAACATCTTCACCATCATCAACGGTACTTTTTATTCTTAAATCAAGAGATTCCCCATATTGTTCTTGAAAATCCTCAAATATTGCTTTCGTGTAAGTATCACCTGCTTGTTTGACCATCATAGCTGGAACTTTCACTTGTGCATTCTTATGACACAAGTTATATTCAGCTTGGTACTCCTTATAGCTCTGATCATCAAGTACTCTCTCAAAATGCATGACAAATTGTACCACATTATAGTCAGGCTGTAAATACTCTTTTAACCTACCATTGAAGCTCTCACTAATTCCCGTAGTTGTCATTCCTGCAGACCATGCCATCTTTACATATGCCTTAGCCCATTTTTTTCTCAACTTCTTTATTCCTTTCAACCACTCTAATGCTTTCCCCTGCACATTATGTTTCACAAGCATTTCATCCCAAGCCACTAAAAACTCATTCTCATCCTCATATTCATCAATGTAACTTTTTTAGGACTTCTCTAACCCCACTGTTACCCTTGAATACACAATTAACATTCTTTAGTGCATTTTGCATCATATGCCACAAGCAAAGCCTATGATATGTATCAGGCATCACATGTGGAATGGCATTCATCATAGCAGCATCTTGGTCTGTAAAAATGGTTTTGGGAACCTCGTTGGACAAAGCTACCAAAAAAGTTTCAAATAACCAAATAAACGAGGGAGCAGTTTCATCGTACATCAATGCTGCCCCAAAAACTACAATTTCTCGATGATGATTCAAGCCAGCAAACACAGCAAACGGACGACCTGCTCAATTAGTTTTATAGGTAGTGTCAAATGAAACAACATCTCCAAAATGACCATAGTCACTTATCATTTTAGCATCTGCCCAGAATATATTTGGTTATTTGCTCTTCATTATCCAATTGTACGGCATAAAAAAATGAAGGATTTTCAACTGTTTTACCTTGAAAATATCTCAACAAGCTTCCTGCTTCACCATACACCATTTTTCTTTGCCTTTTAGGCAAAAGATAGTTCTTCTGATCAACCTTTGTATAACCAAGAGATTCCCTTCCTCCAACATGCTTAGCCATCAACTCATAAGATTCCCAAAGTGGGATACCAGATTCTTCTGCCAAGTCTAACTCAGCAGCCTGAAATTCTGATATTTTTCGCTGAGATGGTAGCATATGTGCACACTCTGGTTTCTGAAGAGCATGATTGTGTTTTTCCTCAAATTCATGCACAAAAAACCTTCCATTAGATCTATTCAACTTAATAACCATTTTAGCATGACAACCTGTCCGTGTCTCTGCCCTTGGCTTCTTGTCTTGTAATCCCGCTTATCTTGGAGCCGAAACCCTCCTTACTACAAGCAAAAATTCTGGAAGTGACTTCATTAGTTTTCTTATTCTTGTAGTGATGATCTTTTCTAATACTAAATCCCACTTTTCGTCCGTAGGCATTGTATAAATTATAGGGTGCTTCTTGCGAATCAAACTGCATACCACACCTCGGTGTACAATCGAATTCGTTCGAGTCATCATTGTTGATATTATTTGCTTCTTCAGAATCAATCATTTTCAATCGGATCTGCAGTATAGAAAAAGGTATGGTACAGAAAAAATCAACATTTCAAAGTTGTTTCTTTACAGAGGTTGTGGGCAATCTAGAACAAATCCCTCTCCCACGAATCCCTCCCCAGATTTTCAAAAATCAACATTGCAACATTAAACAGATCCCACGAATCTCTCTTGTTCTCAATTACTCTAGAAGAACAAATAATGGGACACATTAAATCAGAAAATGAGGACCCCAACATGTTATAAAAAAGAAAATACAAATCCAATAGCAAAAAGGAGCAAAAACAAGCAAAGAAAATTAACATAAACTGACCTGGGAAGATTAGAGAAATTAGGCGAATCGGAAGGAGGTGACGGGAAAGGTAGCAATCGGAAAGGCACTACGGGAAAGGCAGCAGAAAAGTGGAAGAGGCGGGAGGCTTTAAAAGTGTTTTGGAGCTGTTGGTGAGGTAGCAAAATTTGAAGCATTAAATGAAATCAACGGCTAGAAAAGTAGGAGGGGATGAAGGACATGATAACTAGGAGGGCAGACAATCCAGATCCCTCCAAACTTAGCACCGTCTTGTAACTCTAGACTTTTCGTTTTCCCAAAACCACTTTGTTTTCACAAAACCTATTTGTTTTCCAAACCCTCATTTCCGGAGATTAATCCATCCCTCTCAGTATCAGGGACGGAGCCAGAAATTTCTTCTAGTGGAGGCAATCGAAAACAACTAAGAAAACCTTATTATAGTATGGTTATACGCAATATGATATTAAGGATGGTTTCAAATGATGATGTATCACAATTTCAATGTTACAAAAATTTCAATATAGTAGTGGAAAGTGGCAAAGTGATGAGAAAAATATAAGTACATGATAGGCGGGAGAGGGTTTTTCGGTTTGAATGACAGAACAAGAGCACTATTGCTCATATAATATTTGATATGAAGTATAAGTAGAATGAATGTATGTTGGATATTAGATACATATATTTTCTTTAAAGATAACCCGTGTGTATTATATAATTATAGTCAGCAACTAAACAAACAAATTACTTGAGTGGAGGCATCTGCCCCCAGTGAGCCTTCATTGGCTCTGTCCATGCTCAGTATGTTTTTAAAAATAAGTACTGGTGGTAAGCTAGTTATGTTTTGTTCTGTTGCCCATTTTTTGTCTAGCCTATTTTGCTATTCCAATAATTTCAATTTTGGTAACAATTGATTTATAATCTTTATCTCTATATATAATAAAATTAAAAACGTAAAAAAAAATTCCACTAACACTATAATGCAATTGTATTCTTTCTTACTTGTAGGTGGAGGACTTTATATTCGATTCTCATGAACAATAAGTTCAACGGTCCTATCTCTCACCCCAAAATATTATTGTATATAAAAAGATTTAATCTACATTAGGCCTAAAATTTTCTTTGTAATTATGAGGAGGTACAAAAATTAAATTCAAGTTTTTTTCACAAGAGAATTGTTATTGTCACTCTAAAATTCAGGATGCCCACACAAGTTTAGGCTCGAATAGCAGAAAGCAAATAATAAAAAACCCTATTCTCTAGTAGCAAAGACCACATCGCCGTCACCGTCATATCCTTAGAGGAAGCCAAACTCCGAACCGAAAAAGTAGACACTAGATCCAAGTCCCCTTCACATACCCCTACAAATATATATAAACAAAGTATCATACGGGTAGAGGGTAAGGCTAAAAGGGTATGTAAAATACCCAACACTTAGCCTCGATAGGGATTCAGCATAGACATGCCGGTTGGGGAGGGGAAGTGAAGGAGGGTAGTAGATTTGGTATCCTATTCCTAATTGGAGCCCACCTATCTGAGTACATGGTGGGATGGGGATAGAGTATCACATATGAAGAGGAGGGAGGACAAAAAGTTAAAGGATAAAAGGTAGTAAAAGTAGGCAAAAGATGTCGAATAAGGGGCATGAAGCCCAAATCTGAGACAAGCTCAGGGGATAGTTGAGACCTAGCTCAGGAAAAACTGAGATAAGCTCAGAGAGAACCAGGAATAAAATGAAAGAATAAGACTAGAAAGAGGAGAGGAAGAGATGGATGCAGGGAGGGGATAGAGTAAAGAAGTGAGAGGGGAGGAAAAAGAAGAAAAAGGCAAAGGATGGAAGGAGGGAAGGAGAAGGAAAAAAGGACACTGGAAAGAGGAGGAAGTAGCGGGTTGCCACCTACCCCGAACAAGAGCATGTGCTGAAAGTGGACGCCGGAGAAAAGGCTCTAGATCTAGATTTCTAGAGAGAGAGAAACAAGGAGAGAAAGAGAAAATGTGTTTCAGGATCTAGGTGTATAGGATTAAATTGTATCAAATAACTCATTAAATGCCACTCAGTACTATAGTTTGGTGATATTCCTCTTCACTTGAAAGTGAAAGGTTTTAGGTTCGAATCTCGTGGATGGCAAATTCAATACCAAATAAACTGCCCATTGTGCAACTTAGCCGAACCCTCCCTTCCCTTAGTGTAAAAATATCGATGTACCAAAAAAAATAAAAATAAAACTCATTAAACTTATTATATTTCAATTAATAAAGTGAATATTGATTTATGTCTCATTTGGTGTAAAACATTAAATTATAATAGTAAGTGAAAATAATAAATGAGGTTTTAAGATTAGGGCTAGTTTAGTAATGCAAAAAGACAACAAAAAAAAAAAAAAAAAAAAAAAGATTTTGCTCTGATGTGGGAATAGTTGTAAAATAAAGTTGTTGAGTGTTTGGTAAATATTTTTTTTTTTTTTTTGTAAAGTGCTTTTAACAAAAAAATAAATAAATAAATAAAACAATGTCTAAGTGCTTGTAAATTTTTTTATATAAAACTGCTGTGAATATGTTAAATGACTGAAAAGTATATGGAATTGGATGTGATATAATAATTGCCAAAGAGAATAATGCAATGGCAAATATTGTAATTTTGTAAAATATGCAAGGGTCTACTTGTTATTTGAAAACTTCATTAAATAAGCATTGTTCACTATGCATTGGAAAAAAAAAAACATTTGTTGAAAACTTTATTAAATAAGCATTGTTCACTATGCATTGGAAAAAAAAAAACATTTGTTGAAAACTTCATTAAATAAGCATTGTTCACTATGCATTGGAAAAAAAAAAACATTTGTTTTAGAAGCATGGTAGACCCTACTTGCTTTTATACGCTTTTCTGCTATCATTGACAACAATTTTTTTAAAAAAAAAAAAACACATTGTTTTTGTTTTACCAAGCACAGTTGTGTTCCAAATTTTTTTAGAAGTACCACAATCTCAAACCAGTCCTTATACATCGAAGATTGGCTTCAACTACAAATATAAAAAGCTCATATGCCCACCAAAATCACTAACACCAAACCAATATAACAAAAACATTTAGATTTGTAATCAAAGGAATCGTGACAAAAGGTCGTCACCTCCATACGTCTGCCATCTTCAAAATTAGGAAGTGGGATCACTAGATGAGGGATAGATCAAGGGGATGGTGACCGGACTATGAAAGGAAGGTTGATGGCGACAAACTGAGAGGAGCGCTAATTGGGGATTCAAAAAGGGGCTTGAGTGGCATGCTGGTGGTGTTCAGTGGTAAGGATATATTGCTTAAAATAAACATGAAAATTTGATAACAAAAAAAATAATCTTGCAGAAGAACATGAATGGAAGTCCTATAAAAAAAAAAAAAGGAAAAAAGACATGAACATAAGAAAGAAGAATAAGGTGATTGGGAGAAGGAACGACTCTGGTGAAATATTATTAAAAGTTTAATTTTGTCAAAAATAGATATATTAATGAAGGGCCTGCTGCGTTGCTATATCACTCGGCTGGCACCTGAACCCAGCCCATATTTGGGCCTCGGCTCCTTTTTATTTTTCCTAGCCCATGTGGGCTTTGGTCCAGTTTTGAACTACCAAATTTTAGTGCCTAATCATTTTAGTCATTATTCATTGGGTTTATATTTTAGCCGTCTTTCCTGATTGGCCCGCAACTCAATAGTGAAAATTATCAATTCATTAATTATTTTCGAATGACTTGAAGACCTACATGCATTTATCTATTCCATATTTTTTTTCTCTCTATATATTGCATTTGCTTGCAGGAACCTATGAATTTGAAGTTCATAAAATTTGAATCTGAAGTTTTGCATAAAGTGCCTTGAAAACTGGAAATTTTCCTAAAACACTACACTCATGAAAACCCGAAACTTTTCATGCAAATTTAAACTAATACGTGTCTAATAGAACCTAAACGTTCTACTCCTTGTGTATGGATTGATAAATTTGTCTCCATTGCACTAACCACAATCTTGTAATTATTTTTGTGACAGAGACATGTCGAATTTGAATAAATTTGACTTTACTGCTTTGGAAGTCTCTAGAAGAAACTACCTAAAGTGGGTCCAAGATGCGAAGCTTCATCTCATGGCTAAAAGCCTTAGAGCCACCATAGAAGTTGAGATGGATGTACTGGTTGGCGAAGCTTACAAAGCCACCGCCATGATCTTCATACGAAGGCCTATGCATGATGCACTACAAGCTGAGTATCTCGTTGAGAAGGATCCACAAGCTTTATGGATCGCTTTGGCGGATCATTTTGATCACCAAAGAGATAGACTATTGACTTAAATAAGAAAGGATTGGCAACACTTATGCTTCCAAGACATTAAGCCTAGAATACAATTATCAAATTTGTCGAATCATATCACTTCTCAAGTTTTGTAATAAGGACTTGACCGAACATGACTTCCTAAACAAGACATATTCGACCTTCCATGCCACCAATATTGTCCTTCAACAACAATATAGGGCATAAAAGTTTACCAAGTTTTTGGATTTGATCTATATTTTACTTATAGCTGTAAAGCAAACCAGTTGTTGATGAAGAATCATCAAGTTAAACCTAACAACTTAATTGCTATGCCTGAAGTACACACTAGTGAGAAACGATGCCAAAACGGTCGTTCTAGACGCGGTAGGCATGGCTAGAAGTCGAACCCCTAAGGTCAATAGAGTGAAGGCCCATCCAAAGAAGGAAATAGAGCCGCAAAGTGCTTTAGCCTCGCCCCAAGGCCTCAAACTTAACACCATGGATGCAGATATGTGTTATTGTTGTGGTTCAAAGAACCAATGGTCCCGTGTATTCTGAGCTCCCACTAAGGTTGTAGCTAAGTATCATTCTCGTTGTCAGAAGTTTGAATCAAACTTTCCTCAAGTGGAAGAGTTGAAAGATATGAAGATGAAGGTTTCTGACTTTTAAGAACCATCTGCTTCGATGGAGAATATATTTTTAGACATGTCCCACATGTTGGCTGAATTCACCCCAGGAACCGAATTCCTTATGTGGCCGAACCCCTTGTTTTTTTTCTCATCATTTTCCTTTATGTTTGTATAATTTGTTGGTATTTGTTTTAATTTTTGGTATTAAATTTTATGGATTACTTCTGCGAATAATTAATTGAATGAATGAAATGTTTTGAATTTCTTTATACTTATGACCAATCCAATTAATTTATTTACAGGTATTACTAATGGGGAAGTTAGTTGTCTGACAGATAGTGCAACTACGCAATCATTTTGTGTGAACGCATCTATCTTACTAACTTCGTACCTAAAAATTCACCTCTTACAACCTTCTCATGTTCATCCAACCTAATCAAAATACATGGAAATGCCCATATAATGTTGTCCAATGGTACTAAATTATCACACCAAAACCTTGTTAGAAAATGGAGTTAAGTTTATTTGCATCATTTCCTATGAAGATGAGGCAAAATACAGCAAAACTTTGCATGCCAAACTTGCTGAATGGGAAAGCTCATCACGCGCCCTTTCTATGACAAGGTCCAATCGGATCCTCCAACCCTTTTTCACATAATTCAAGGGGACATTTTTGGACCAATTCAACCTCCTTACAAACCATTTAGATACTTTATTGTATTGGTTAATACTTATATGCGATGGTTACATATGTGTCATTTGTCCACCTAAAATGTTGTATTCTCCAAACTGCTAGCTCAAATCATTAAGCTAAGGGCTCATCATCCTGATTATTCGATTAAGTCGATTCAACTGGATAACACTAGAGAATTCACATCAAAATCCTTCGATGACTATTGCATGTTCATTGGGATTGAAGTTGAACATCATGTACCCCAGCAAAAGCGTCCATTAACATCTTTAATTGATCACTCGATCGTTGGTTATACGTACCAAACTCCTGACTACTGTTTCTGGCCATGCAATACTTCACGCAGCCATGTTGGTCCATTTGAGGCCGATCATAACCCAACCTTGTTCTGCGCTTTAGTTAATAACTGGATACGAGCCCAACATCTCGCATTTGCGGGTCTTTAGTTGTGTGGTCTATATGCCGATTGTGCTGCTCTTAAGTACAAAATGTGTCATCAAAAAATGATGGGAATATATGTCGGTTATGATTATCCTTAATCATTTGTTACTTAGAACCTTTGACATGCAATCACTTTACCGCTCGTTTTGTGAATTGTCACTTCTACAAGATAGTCTTCTCGTCGTTAGGGAAAGATAAGAACATTTACGTTCCTGAAGAATGATGTGAATTATTGTGGATGACTCCCACTATGTCTCATCGAGATCCCCGCACTTCACAGTCTAAAACTAAAGTGTGACGAATCTTAGATCTTCATAGTGTTGCTCAAGCATGCTAGATGCCTTTATCGATCTAGCAAAAGCAATGAGATCGCATATACTAGCTGCAAATGTTCCTCCAAGGATGGATGTACCTAAGATACGTCGAACTGTTGTTCTAGAATGACGGGACGCCGCTAATGTGTACTGGACAACCCTCAAAGGTCGGTTGCCACACCTAGTGGCGAATCTAGTGTATTGGTAGTTAGCCAATCATTTGCTCCTACCAGAAGGCGTGGTAGGCTTGTTGGTACAAAGGATTCACAACAGTGAAAGAGGAAACCCATGGGACAATCTAGTGAAACTAGAGTAAATCCGACCATCACCTACTCATTCTATCCAACGCATGAATAAATTCTACATTACGAAAACGTCCTAGAAAAGACAAATCTGCCTTCCGAGAACGAAAGATTTTGGTCCATTATGCTAGCTTGGATGATGTTTGGATTACAAATGAGATTATAGTCGGCGATGAATTAACATATGCAGTAGCTACTGATATCATGCTGAGCGATAACATTAAACCACGTTTCATTGATAAAGGTCGACATCGAACAGATTGGTCAAATTGGAAATAAGCAATCCAGTTTGAACTTGATTCGCTTGTGAAACCCAAGGTGGTTGGCCCCTTAGTTCCTACACCGCCACATGTGAAGCTTGTTGAATACAAGTGGGTTTTCGTAACGAAGCGTAATGAGAAGAATGAAATAGTGTAATATAAGGCATCCCTAGTTGTGCAAAGCTTCTCTCAACTGCCCAATGATTGATTATGAGGAGACATATTCTCCCGTAATGGACATCATGACATTCCGCTACCTTATCAGTTTGGTAGTTTCCAGAAAACTGAATATAGAGCTTATGAATGTTGTAACCGCATATCTTTATGAAGATCTTGATATGGAAATCTACATAAAAGTTTCTGAATGACTTACATTGACTGGATCAAATAATTCTAGACCACGAAACGCTCTCTAGATTACATTGAGGCGTTGACTCTTCGGATTGAGGTACCATCTAAATGAGTATTTGATAAGTCAGGGAAATGTGAACAACGAACTTTGCCCTTGCGTGTTTATTAAGTAATCACATTTCGAATTTGCGATCGTTACAGTTTATGTTGATGACATGAATCTCATTAGGACTCTTGAAGAACTTGAGAAAACTGTCGCGTACCTGAAGTCAGAAATTAAGATGAAGCATATTGAAAAAACTCGACATTGTTTTGGCCTGGAGATCGAGCATTGTTTAGATGGAAATCTTGTTCAGCAGTAGAACTACACCCCTAAGGTGTTGCGTCGTTTTAATGAGGATAAAGCAGTTTATGGGCATCTAAATGCTAGATTCCAAATGAGATCATTTCCATCCTAAAGAGGATCAGGAAGAGACTTTGGAGCCTAAAGTTCCATCGACGCTTTATTGTACTTAGCTCAGTGCACTAAACTGAACATCTCATCTTTAATATTAGAAAGCTAGAAGGAAAGTTTGGTGTCTTAAAGCTTCACCAAAAATAATTGGACTATAAAGCCCCCCAAACAAAAAAAAATCCACAACTAGCTGAAAATAATAAAAACAAAATAGCAAGGATACTTTTGTCAAAAAAAAAAAATATATGTTAAACAAAAAGGGAATTAAAAATTAGAAAAAAAAAGAAAAAGAAAAGAGAAGATAAAAACCCACGACCCATTCTTCTTCCTCTCCGTCTCTCTACACACACAACCCCTTCCATATTTTCCTCAATACAACCGCTCCACTTACTTCAGTTTTTTATTTTTTTAATCAAGGATAGTTTTATTAAAATTAGCCAAACGACATAGGTTTTGCATCAGCTGAAGATTTTGCTTCCTTGCATATCTAGAGGTAAGAAATCGTCTGTACGTTTTCGTTTGTAAGTTCTTCTTTGTCTTTTTGTTTTCTTCATAACTGAACATAAAGCTGTATTAAAAAAATTACATAAAGCAGAGAAAAAAAAGTAGAACCTGGCATTCAAACCTCCAGGTTGTGCAGAAAAAACAAACTGGAGAAGATGGAGTTTAGAACATGGAATAGACACAGTTATCGGAAGAAAGTTTACCTTTTTATTCCAAGTTTACGGTTATCAGAAGAGAGTTTACCATTTTAGTTTTTCTACTGCAAAATCTGCAATGGTTTTATGAGGGAGAACGAGGACGACGCAATTCAATCTCCATCCACCTTTTTACAGGTACGCTAAGTTTCTTCAATTTCTGAATTTTATCTCTACATTTCAATCTAAAATATCGGACAATAATTCATATGTGTATTATCGTAAACATTCCGGAATCTATTGCTTAATTTATATTTTTCTTATGGAATTTAATGTGATTTCGACGAATAGGGAGGAACAGTTGGATAATTATCCTCCTATTTTGAAAAATAAGAAATAATTATCCTCCCAAACTGAGCGGTTATAATTATAACACGTTTAAAAAAAAAAATTGCAGCTCAAATTTGAAACTGCAATTAGCAGTTGCAATTGGTTTTATTCCTTTCCCGCAAAAACTAAATCGTCTTCACTCTCAGGTATGTTACTTTGATGTTTGATTTATTTTTAATTTCCCTTTTTTTATTAACTCCAGATTTGATCAAATATATAGGTTGATTGGTGAATCCCCAGTGATCGATGCGTTTTCAATATATGAGTTGGTGGTTTCATTCTTTTGGGTAACTTCGTTTAATTCTTTTTTCCTCCTGTCCATGAATTAATTTTAATTAATTTAGTTGTAATCAGTTTTGAAGTTTGTTTCATAGGGAAAATATGGAAGAAGGAAGAGAAATAGCGGAAAAAGAGGGGAACAAAAATAGTTTTGAGTCATCCTGTTCTATTTTGGTTAACATAGTTTCATCCCTTTTTGTTTTTCCTTCTATCTATGGTTTTGTTTTTAACTAATTTAAACAAAATGATCATTAAAGTTTGAACCTTTTCTATTTCTTATAGATGTGGACCTCAAGAGTGGAGCAGAAGAGGTCTTGATCATGTTTTTTTTTTCTCTTCATTTAGATGGTTGATCTACTCTCTTATTTGGTGCTCAAACTTTTTTATCTGCTTCTATTTCCTATGCATAATTTTTTATAGACAATTGGTGGACGATGTTTTGACAAGACAGCAGTTGTCAGGTAGGACGATGATCTATGCTTTATTTTATGGGCATGCCCATTTTCTTAACAAGTCTCTCATATTTTCCATTCTATTTTTCCTATTTTTCAATTCACGCTCTTCTCTTTCTCACTCTTCACCTGTAGAGCCGTCAGGTGTGTCAAAGTGGTTGGATGTGTTTAATGTGAAAGAACTGGCGTGGTCTAAGAGGCTACGTGAAGCGTATATTTCTATTTTCTTTTTCTTCCATGTTTCATTTATTTATTGGTGATCCAATGATACTTTGTGCTTCTTCCATTTTGGAAGAAAAATGTTACAATTGCTTTATTCTGTAATGGTTTGAAGGCTCTACAGATGTCCATAATTGTTTATGTAATGTTTAGTTTATCTTAATATTGTAATCTACGATCAAACCTATATTTCTAATATGAACACTATATCAGAGAAGGGATTTTTATTTTCTTACTTTGTATTCAGAGGGAACAAAGAAAAACCATGGGAAGACATCTACAGTCGGTCCAAGAACAGTGATTATAGAATTTGGGTTCAACTTCTTCTTATTTCCTATAATCAGTTTAACTTCTTATTTCCTTATATTCAGTTGGATTTCCTCTTCGTTGGGGTTGATTATAGAATTTGGGTTTGTTCATTTGGTGTTTTAAGTATTCGCGAGAGTGTTTGCTTATTTTTTAGGGTGATATCCTTATTGTGTTGCTTTTTACTTGGACCAAAATAAAGAAAGAGACTTGAAACCCTTGCTTTCTGTAAGTTCTTTTATGAAAGGGGAAAAGTACAGGTAGCACTACTTCTCCTTTTATTTGAATAGGAGTGAGGAGACAAGAATGCATATGCACTACAAAAAAAAAAAATGGTCTATGAACACAATTCATTGGTGCCCTTTTCAATTTCATTGAGCACATATATGTATTTGTGCTTTTATGTTTCATTGAGCACAAAATTATCTCAAATTGATGAAGTAAACATGTTCTTTATCTGAGTATGCTTTGTCTATTGTTGTTACTTCATGTTTCGATTTTACGTTGTTTAAAATATTGTTCAACGAAGAGTTGCTTGGCTATTAATTAGTGTAAGATTAAGAGGAATGTAGTTTATCATACTCAAGAGTGCAGGTAATATTCTATGATTTGGCATAATTTTGTATGTAATTGATTCTTCTTCTCTAATAATCTTCCCCTATTTCCTTTTGTTCTGTATATAATGGATCGTCTTAAATTTACAGGTTCATCGCTCATTCAGGCTGCAAAGGATTTGATTACTTTCTTTTTAGGAATATGAACTGGAACAACTTCAAAGTTCGGGTGTAATTATTTGTCTTATCAAGTAAATAATTGTATCTTATCGGTTTGTTTTTTATGCATGGGATTGTATTTTTGATTGGAAGGTTATAAAAATTAACACCTTTTACAGTGCCCCAAAATACAAAAGATATACATGTTTTGCACTAATTAAAACAAGATTATTACTACGTTATGTATTCAATTTTAAATTAAGGTACAATATCTATACCAAATAAACTAGGATTGGCATATACACATTAAGAAAACAACCTCCATTTGCACTTTTAATAGAAAAAGGCTCGGGTTTGATTGTAAAAAACAAAAACAAAATTGTTACTACTAATTTTTCTTAAGAATAAAAACATGATTAGGCGATCTACTAATAAAGAGATTGGAAACTAATGTAATAAACTTTCATCTTCTATAGGAAAATAGAAACAAGTTAAGCAGGAGCAATTGAGAAAACACCATTCGCAAACACATAAAATTTGTCAATCAGCTCCCAACGAATAAGAATGTCGATAGACACATGAACACCTAATGCCTCCTAAAAAAGACTGTTTTAATCCTCTCACACGTAAATGTTGTTTCATTATTGCGTGAAAACAACTGACGCAATATATAATTAAAACCGTGTAGCGCCAGTAATTAAAAAAATGCCTCTTGTGCGACCATGATAAAAGAGACCATGATTTAGTAATGGCACCATCACGTTACAAGTAAACTTTATATTTTTGTATGTACATATTGTTCATCATTTTGTTTTGGATCAATGTATCAGAACATACCATCATTTGATCATGATATATAGCTTGAAAAATGTGACATAGGCCGTACAATTAAACATTAATGTCATTTTCGTTTACATAGTTATCAAACAAATTTTTTGCACCCTTAAAGATGTCGTGCGATAGTCGTTTTCAATTTGTTCAGTGAGCCATTTTGACAATTACAATGCAAAAAACTAATGCAAGACATATTTAGGGGCGCGTAGCATCTGTGATTGAAAAAAGACCTCTCGCATGCACGTGAGTGCGTGGAGAGAGGCTAGTTCACTTTTAATCTTTTGGCAAGATACAGCAACGCATCCACATGCAGACATTGGACAAGTGTTAAAGACATATTCTGCTACTTTAAGGGTACGATGTATTTGGGTTTGTTCTATCCTCGGAATCCTCAAGAGGAACCACAGCCCCCTCAGTTCTCGGGTTGATTCCCGGCTTGCTGGTTATGCTGATGCAAGGTACTTATCTGACCCGCACAAAGTACATTCTCAAATTGATTACATCTTTACCATTGGAGACATCGTAATATCTTAGAGGTCAACCAAATAGGCCTTAGTTGCGACTTCTTTGAACCATGCTGAAATTATCACTTTACATGAACCTACTTGGGAATGCTTTTGGTTGAGAGCAGTAATAGAACATATTCGAACCACCTGCAGGCTTTCTTGCATCGTTGATGTCTTTACAACGATTTATGAAGATAACGTAACATGTATCGAACAACTTTAAAGTGATACATCAAAGGATAGAACACTAAGCATATTGCGCCGAAGTTCTTTTTCTCTCACTAGCAACATGAAAATCAGAAGATTGAAGTCAAGCAAATCCATTCCCAAGACAACATGGCCGACCTCTTCACTAAGTCATTGCCAAAGTCTACCTTCCAAAAGCTTGTTCAAGGAATTGATATGTGTAAAAATCCCGAAGTATACTCGTTTGATCTTAATGTACTCTTTTTCCCTACCCTGAGGAGCATTTTTCTACCTAACTAGGTTTTAACAAGGCATCCGTCATAAACTGGTCATACCCTTATGTATGTCTTGTAGACGATTAAATTGGTTTGCATTAACTCACATTTTTCCTTAGACTATAGGTTTTTGTCCCATATTGTGTTTTACCATGGCCTGGTTTTGTGAGACTTACTTCGATATGCAAGTTCACTTGTTTAAGACTAGCGTGTTTCCTATTCAGTGCCAACGAGTCAGCTTCTTCAAACTTTGATAAGCCTGATGTTGAATCTACTTGAGTATTTACACACTCAAGGGGTAGTATTACGAATATTATCTAACTGGTTTCTAGATTATTTATTTTTCTAGTGATTCTTTCCTTATAGGGCTGTACTTACATCGAGGGCAAGTTAATCCTCTCTTCTTGGTTCGCTATAAGTAAAGGCATTGGCGTAGGAAGGAACACACACAAGAATCCCTAGGAATTCTATAGTTTTCACTCACTCTCTCTCTCTCTCTCTCTCTCTCTCTCTCTACCGTACCCCTTCTCTCCCTCAGATAAAATAGGCCACAACACATTTTAGGTTCAACTTATTTATATATAGCATTCATTACCACAATTATATATTTGTACATCATTATCAGCCAAATTTAACAGTTAAGAGCATCTCCAATAGCTCCTAACTAGAATGAAGAAGATTTAAAAAAAAAACTTCAATCATACTCCTATCACTTAGATGGGAATCTAAAAATCCTAATATAGGAGGAAGAAAGAGCTCATAGTGACACTTTAATTAAGCAGCGTTTCATATAAATTAAATAAATAATAATCTTTGGCTATTATAATCATGCTTATGACTCTCTAAGTAGGAAGAGATTGGAATAACTTTTCTAGAGAATGTAAAATAACTTTTTGATAGTTTAGCCATAATTTTATATAAAATGAATTTGATCAACTAGTCTCCCTCAGAAGTGCAAACCTTAAAAAACACCTAAAACCAAGCTTCAGATAAAAAAAACCTTCACAATTGGTGTTCGTCATTGTGGATTTTATAACATAAACCCATTTTGCTAGGAAAAAAAACATTCATCTTTGTTGCCCAACCTCCACCACCTCCACCACCTTCATCCCCATCCTATTGACACACCCCGACCCAGATAGCCTTCCAGCTAAGAGTGGAAATATGTTGGCCGACACTAAATTGACAATAAAATCCCACCTTAAAGGTGACGAAATACTATCAATTTAATGACGAAGCCATAAGTAAAGAAATTGTGATGTGAATTATTTCGAACCAAAAGGCTAATTTGTTAATTATTTAACTATTAAGTAGTTCCCTGCACAACCTCCCCACTTGGGGACACAATCTAGAACTAAATTTCATTTTTATTGATTTCACATCATTAGAGCATAACAGTAGTGCATACAACAGTAAACCACAAAAATATGGGTCATGCTATATATAATCAAAAGTAATGTCATACAATTGATTGTAAATAAATAATAGCTAAGCAGAGATTAAACTACCCAGCTAGTAGGAAGTCTACACTACTGCTAAGCCCACTCGTCCTCCTCAAAAGTCACCTTCCACTTGCTAGGCCCTAAGGGGGTGCAAAACAAAATGTGAGTGGGTCATAATCATTTATTGAGTAAAATCATTTTGAACATAATACCCCCGTTTTGTACAACATATATAGTTGAAAAACTACATAATAATATCTACTACCATAATAGTAAATAAAATTCGCAATAAATTCGTCAATCAAACTCATTCAATAAATTGTTCAGAGATCATACATTTACTTAACCAATCATACTAGCATCTACTAGCATAAGTATAGCATGCAGGGTATGCTAGCCTCTACTAGCTAAATTCTCTATAAGTATCAATAAGTGATCTAGCCTCTACTAGACATATAGTAACAGCTGCAAATAATCTACGGTCAAAGATAACTATACAAAATATAAAATGATGACCATGTATGGTGAAAATACTTCACCTTAGTCATAAGTATCACTAATATCAAATCTAATCATTTGTAATTAAGTCTCATCAAATACTAGCACAATTCAAATATTTATCAAAAACCATTTAATCGAAAATATTGTTTTTGATAAGATCCACTCACGAATAATATGAGCATAATCCATAATAGGTGTCTTGTCCTTGTTTGTAACCTTTATAATTGCACCCATAAAATAACACTTAGCTTTACCAAGTATATTCTAACATTTAACAAATTTTAATACCTGAACATTATTAACGGCTTTGAATTAGCCTAAACAGGATGTGCCACATGATTCGGGATGTCGAAAAACTTTAAGTATATCTTGGGTCCCCCACGCACTGCCATCACAACTGACAAGTACATCTGCAGTCGCCGTCGCCAATTTGATACATATTGATGACGTAAAAATCCCTAATTTAATTTTTTTTAATTTTTTTTAAATGCCGTCTAAATGATGATTAAGAAATAAACAACTAGATTGACAAAGAGGCGTCCCAAGAAGTTGATAGAAGTATATTATGTGTTGTATTTCTTAGTGTTTTCTAGGCTCATAAATTCTAATTCTGGTTGGATTTTGATTCTAGAAATCACATAGATGGTGATCTCCGGATTGTAGAGAATGAAGTGAGAGGATGAAGACAATGAATAAAAAAAACATTTACCTGAAATCTATGTTGGAGTCTTTGCAATTCAATTATGCCAAGCACAATAAGAGTGTGAGTGATAGGAGCATATTTATGCGCCTTAGTTAGCTAGTTCTTATGCATTTTTTTTATGTTTTCTTCGTTAAAGTAGTCTTTTAAGCTACTTTCATGTGTTTTCAGGTTTAAAGGACATATTACATGAAATGATGCAATTTGGAGCTTTTGGAGCAAAACTGAGCTGGAATGTGGTGTACGCAAATAGAGCACGAGGAATGGACGTCCAAAACTATGCATCACACAATCTTCCTCCTAAGCCGTGCATCCCACCATTCCTATCCATCATCCATAAACCCTAATTCCCTTTAATCCATAGCCATCCATTTAATCCACCCAAAACCGTGCAAACCATCTCCCATTCATAAATTATTCAGCCCATTATCCCATTTACATCCTCTAATCCGTGCATTCCCATTAGCCATTAACCCTAATATTCTAATCCATCCACCATTCCACCCACACCACTTCCCATTATCCATTTCATCCGTGCATTGCCATTAGGGCTAATAAACTAATAAATCATTCTTTATTGAGCCACTTATTCCCATTATAAAACCCAAAACCGTGCATCCATTCCTCTCCACTTCCCATTAATCGTCCACTTCCCATTATCCATTATCGCATGGATAAT